ACTCATCTATAGTCTCTATTTCATTGTTTTCTACTTATTTCAGATGTTAAGAGTAATGCTTAGAGAAACATTACTGCTCATTAACTTGCTTAGGATTTATCTGTTTCAAATAACTGGCAGAAATTGTTTTCGGAGAGAAATATCGCTTTCCTCGTTTGTTTGCCATTTGTAAACTCAATGGATGCAACACATACCATTTTATTTTTTGCTGTTTTTACATTATGTTTACAATACAAAGCTAAAAATGTCTGTACTTTGATTTGTAGGTGAATTCAAAATTAGTTAATCTATAGAAAATATTCTTGAATGAGTATTTCTAAAACAAGTCTACCTCCTTTATTTTTCATGCACAGGAAAAGTAAGAATACAGTATGTGTTTGTTTCCTGAAGTCCAATTCTTACTGCTTTACATGAAAAGCAGATTTTTTTTTCTCCTCTGATTGTCCTCTGTATTACTTGATTTTAGGGCATCTTTGAAGAAGCTTCTCTAGGCAGCTAACAAATATAAAGAACTGAAAACTCTAATTAGACAATCTGCTTCTTTGACTTGGCTTGCTCCAGTGATGTTTGACTGTGAGTCATGTAGTGCTCTTTAAAAAAAAAAAAAAAAACTCATCACCTTGTTTTGACTGGTAGTGGCTATTCAGAAGGATCTGTAACTTCTGCTGTTAATGACCAGCTGTGCACTCTGTAGTTGTTAATGATTGCCATTTCTCTTCTTAAATCCTGGGATAAAGGTACATATGCACATTTGAACACCTGAATGATATGTATTCATTTTAAATATCATCTGAAAAGGCAGTAGATCATAAGAGGTTAAAAATAAAAAAATGCATGTTCAATTTATTTTATTCCAGCTTAGCACCATTCATTACACCTGATATTTTTTCCTGTTCTGTAAACAGTAAATGGATTGGGCACTGAATCAAAACCAAATCTAACCTGTAGTTACAGCTTTACAAGGAGTATATTAACTTGTCAGAAATTCAGTAAAATGATCATCTGTGAGTTTTTTAATGAAATCATTTTGACAGATAGATATAAGAAGCAGTGGAAGGATACAAGAAAACCCTTAAGTTAATTACTTGAACTTAGAAACCTCAGCTGAAATATCAAAAGAAACAAATACTGTGTATAGTTGCTTCAACACTGGTGACATTTTACACAGATATATCTTCTTTTCCTATGGTACTAGAAAGGATCTTTTTGGGACATGAATTACTGTGAGAAAAAAACAATGCTCTTACTATAAATATCTCCATTAATATGGATATTCTGTGATTTACCTAGGGCTAACTTCAAAATATGGTGCTTTGGAAGAAAAAATACTAACAGAATTTAGAATGAATGTGAGAAATAATTATTGAGGGACGGATATTTCACTGACAATTCAAGATAAATCCTTATTCAAATTGAATTTCCTTTTGGAAAGCTTAAAGCCATCAGTCTATTATAAGACAACAAAACTGACTGATGCTCATTTGAACTGGTATTATTTTTATTAAACCTGAAAGAGGTATGATGAATTAATATATTTGTAAACTAAGTCTGCAAAAACACGGCAGATTGATAGTCATGCTTAATTTGGAAGGAAAATGAGCTTTATTGCAGTTTCTTTTTTTTCTCTCTCTTTTTTTTTTTTTTTTCCTGATATGCCTCAGTTCTCATTCTTATCACCTTTCTTTTTCCACTTTCTGTTTTCTATTGCTCTGTTAGTGTAGGCTAAATTCTTTGTTCAATTCTAGATTGAATTAAAGTAGTGTGAAAACAATGGTGTGGTGGTGATGTGGGATTCACAATTGGTTTAAGTGGTTGTGTTAAACAGCTGCTCTCAATAGCTTCATTAATATTAAACTTGCCACAAAATTGTTTTCATGGCAAAATCTTTGAAATCTGAAGGGAAAGCATGGTGTGTGTGATCATGGATCCCAAGTCTGCCAGTGGCAGCGTGCCTTCGGCAGGATGGGGAGGCAAGCAGAGCAGGGGGGTACAACCAAATAGGAATGGGATTTACCCTGCAGCACAGGACACAAGAACACCAAAACTTTGCAGGGCCATTTTAAGTTAAGTGCAGTAAGTGAAGATCAAGCTCATATAGGCAGCATGGATCTACAACAGCAGATAACAAGCAGAGCAGAACCACAGATTCTTTGTACTTCAACATGGATGTCAAGTCTTAACACAATTATACAGCATATCACAAGGTATAGCGCTACAGTTTTGTCAGATTTTAGGGAGGAGTGAAGGCATTTTTTCATTCCCTTCGGGCTTCACTCTGCTGAGTGATGGTTGGGGTATGCAGTTGTGTTAATCTCCATTCTGTATCAGTGACAATTTCCTTGTCTTGGAACCTCCATTTTATAAATAACGGTGTTACTTTACTCTCCATCATTTAAAATGTCACTTGTTTATTTTGCCAAGAAAGGTTGCTGAGGAAAACAGTCAGAATCAAAAAAAGTAGTAAATATGAATTAAGGTAATCACATAGTTTATTATCACAAGTTTATTGTTATTGTTTGTTTGTTTGTTTGTTGTTTCTGAGATGTTTAACATTTCTATACATTGTAAAGTTAAAATGAATCCTTTTCCCAGTGACGTAAATAAGGACAGGGTATTATTTGGAAGATAGTAGTAAAACCTGCACCCTCTGTCTCATTAAGTTATTTTGGTATAGAACCACAGCAGTCAGTGTTGCTTGGGGTTGAAACATATGCCCAGTATTATCATTGAGGATATGTTTATGCATATGTTTTGAGAGAAGGCTCCAGAGAAAATGACACAACAAAATTCTTGGCAGTTCCAAGAAGTTCTTTCTAAGTAGGCTATCAGTTTACAAGAATGACATTGCTGACCTCCTCCTTTTTTATAAACAATTCTTTAATACATGAAAATACACACAGAACAGCAGAAGCCAAGCTGATAAGTATTAGTCTGAATACACTACTCAGTCATAGTGGAAGCACCACTTAGATTCAGTGTAGCATTTTTCCTCCTGATAGCTGTATCATTAGGATTTTGCTTGAATTAAAACATTAAGTATACTATTGATACAATAACATGGAATGATTAACGACCTATCTTAGGGAATGTGTCATGTCAATAAAACTCTTTTTAATAGCACTGTTGCAATTCCCTGGCTGAAAGAGTCTCAAGAATCAGTTAAGACAAATCCTCAGATCTACCCTGAGGGTATGCAGTAGGATACCATGGGCTTTATTTAGGAGCAAGTTTTGCTGAAATATGCTTGAAAAATCTAGGTAATCTAGATCTGGATATATAAATTAGTCAAAGGCAGTCTTATTTTTTCTTTGTTTCCTCATCTGAAAGTGACAAAGGACTTCTATAAATATACAACTATACAAATACTGGCACTGCCGTAACCTGGAGTTATCTGGTAGGGTTTCTAGAGCATATGTCTTCGTTCAGGTTACTGCACTAAGTTGTGTTGTGCCACATGAATAGTTTGCTATGTATTGTGTGAGGACTTGGCTGTTCTAGGCTCTTACATGCGAATACTCCCAGCCCACAAGTACACTGAATTCATGCTGTTTTGGTGTATTCTCCTGTTCTGTAGTTGGTATCTCTTTTACCTGGAAGTGTAGAATCAATTGCTGCTGATGAGCTTTTCCTGTTATTGCATTATTATAATGCTTTTATCTTCAGCCAGAGCTTGTCCTCCTCAGAAGTCTTATGCAGCCTTCTGGGATCACAGGAGTCATCACAGAGTCATAGACCATAGTGTGAATAATAAAGTTCAAAAATAAAACAAAAATCTCTAAATCTCAAGAAATGTTGGTGCTGAAAAGCTTCAAAATTATAATACTCAAAGTGATTAAGTGAAATTCCCAGCTATTAGAAGTTGAATTTGATTCCACTTTTAATCAGTCTGAACACATAATATGTGACCAAAATTTTAGATGATACGCTCAATCAGGGCCCTACAAGCATGCTTCAACATTAAAAGGTTTACAGTTACAATTTGCTAGAATGGGAAAGCTATGTGTTCTCAGAATGAACAGTACCAGCTGGGCCTACAGAGCAGTACTGTTTCTGGCTGAATTAATATTCATTTTGTGTTGGGGCACATCATGGGCTGGTTGCTCCCTAGGGGAGAGAAGTCAAGCGCTAAACATGATAACATACTCAGGACCATGCACTCACCAAGCAAGGTGAGTTAGCATGCCTGGCATACCAGGTGTGATCAAGAGTCCATGGGGTCAAGCTGGGCCCATAGTGAATCAGGGTCAGGATCAGGTCTAGTGATGTTGACCAGGGTCAGATATGTGGCACCACGACACAAGTACAGACTGGCCACCAAGTCTGTAGTGATGAGGCAGGTCTGAGGTGGGGCAGGATGTCATTCCATGGGTCTGGATCAATGGGATCCATGACCAGGATCCCTGGCTGCCACACATCTGGTCTGTAGGTCAGGCTGGGACCAAACATGAGCATCTCAACTTAAAAGCAGATCCCACAGGAAAGTGGAGTCAGTCTGGCTCAGGCCTCCCAGCAGAGCTGTCAGGTAAAGGGGAGAGCCTGCAGTTGCACTATATTGAAGTTGTCCCTGATCCCTGGCAGTAGGAATTCCTGGAAGGGGAAAGACCTCAAGGCTGTTACACTTTGATGTACTGATGTTTGGAAAAAGTCTGTCTATTTCTCTACTTAAAAAGATTTCTTTAGCAGTAGAGCAGAGAAGCTCTTTTTCTTTACATTTCTGTCACAAAACAATTGGTGTGTCATGTTGCATTATGTCATATCATATGGTGAAACACAATCTGACATACTGTATCCAAAAGGTATTTGAACATATCATGTTAGAAACTGGAAGAAAGAGTATATACTCTCTTTGTCTTGGCCGTTGTTTTTGTTTTCGGCTTTTCTTTTAATTCCCCTGGATTGCCAATTTAAGAAAAAATAAAATAAAAAACAAAAACTGCAAAAACAAATGCATAGTTTTCCTGCTTGCACTCAATGTACGTTTAACCTTTCTTTTCTTTTAGGAAAAAACAAAACCAAGAGATCTATGAAAGTCAAAGACAATCTACCAGGTAAGAAAGATTCTTTAAAAAAAAAATAATTATATATATATAAACAAAATACCTGCAAGACATGAACACCTGAGGAAAGATTAACTGAAGTAAATGAAAAATTTCATGTAAGACACTACAGTGCAAAAAGGAATCAAAATACACTAGTGCGTGACAAATGAGGGAGACTTGATGTCAGTCATCACTTTACTGGATGGTACATGTCAAAGATTATACTTAAAGCATTGGCAGTAAATACAAGCCATGCTTTGTCTTCTTTATGCAAGGAGAAATCCAGGGCAATATATGCTGCCTCAGCATGACGATAGTAAGAACCAGCCTTAGGCATTCTGTTGCTCTAGGTAAGTTTGACTATGTCTGCCCCTGATTTCTACTGATCATACTGAATCATAGAATCCTAGAATATCCCAAGTTGGAAGGGACCCATAAGAATCATTGAGTCCAACTCCTGGCACCACACAGGTCTACCCAGAAATTCAGACCATGTGACTAAGTGCATAGTCCAAACACTTCTCAAATTCCAAAAGGCTTGGTGTAGTGACTACTTCCCGGGGGAGCCTGTTCCAGTGTGCATCCACCCTCTCAGTGAAGAACCTCTTCCTGATGTCTAGCTTAAACCTCTCATGCCTCAACTTGACCCCATTCCTGCAGGTCCTATCGCTGGTGATTAAGGAGAATAGGTCAGCACCTGCCCCTCTGCTCCCCCAAGAGATATGATATATCTATTTCATACAGTTGTTCAACTACATGTTTTGACATTCATACTTTCCCAGAAAGTGACCGGATGATCTCCAAGGTCTTTTCCAACCTTAATGATTCTGTGATTCTGTGATATATATATATATACATGTATATGTATATATATATATATATGTATATATATCATACATGTATATATACATACACATACGTATAAATCTCATTGGTATTCATTCTCTTTCCCTGTTCTTTTTTTTTTTTTGAATTATAATTTTTATTTTTATTTGCTTTTCTGTATGCTTTCTTCTCTCTCATTTCTGTCTTCCTTCCTTCTCTTCTTTGTTTTCACATCTATTTGGCACATAGCACTTTTTCCTCTCTTTTGGTCTTTTCCTTTTTTTTTTTTTTTCTCCAACCAGGTTTTCTAGCATTCCTTGTCCAGATTATTTCAGATTTTTTCTTGTACTTTTTTCCTTATTTTTTTCCTTCTCTAGAATAGAATGTTTATTTTTACTGGAGAGGAATAATAATATAAAAAAAGAAAAAAAAAAAAAAAAAGGTTCTTTTCCTTCATTCTACTACTGTGCTAGGTATCTGAGGTGATACTGTTCTGTTCCTGGCAAGCAATAATATTTACAGACTTATTTATGAATCTGAAGATTGATTTAGCTTGAGAATAACGCAGAGATGAACCATGGAAATGTTGAGATCTACTTTCCAAGATTCGTAAATCTTAAAGCCATTCTGAGGTGAATACCTTTTAGAAAAGCAATTCCTAATGACTGGAAATCATGAAATCTCCAAAATCCAAATTGAGTTAAAACTTAACTTCCACAAATAAGGAAAATAATCCTTGAAGGAAGAAATATTTTCTAAATCCTTACAGAATTACATTTGTTCTCTGTAAAATTAAATACATATTTATATATATATCAAAAAATCTAAATATTTGAAGTAACACTAGTTTTCTTAGGAAGTCTGATGACAAATGTACCATTTATGACATATGACTTCCCTCAGTATAAAGTTGTTTTCAGGAGCTATTCTGTGTCCTTTATCTAACAGCAGTTAGTTGACTAAGTAATGAAATGTATAACAAAATAAGAGTAATTTCTCTGGCAGTGATTGCCTTTATGATTTCTATTGCTATTTGTTTTGACATTTTTAATTGCATTTTCTACACCTTGTCTTAGAACAGTATAGCCTGTCTTAAGCTATAGCTATTCTTGCTATTCCCATCATTTTCCCTTGTTAAATAAGATATGTTAAATAAGATATGTTTTGTTTGGCACTAAATGTTTTCATCTTCTAGATACTAGAAGAAAATATTTTTCAAGGTCAAACCCTGATATATGGGTTTAGTTTCAACATGCACACTTGAATTTTTATTCAACTCAGGTATTATTAACTAAATAAATTTATATTACAAGTGCAACATAGAAAAATACTTTTGATGTCCTTTTGTAGTTGAGAATTTCTACCAGTCTCAGCTGCAGAAATGCTGTGCTTTTAGATCTTCTAAGAGGAAATAAAATTGTTGTAATAAAAAATATGACATTCAGAGATTTGATAGTTGCGTACTTAATTTGCAGTAAATTATGCAATGGATGCATTACATCTGCATCTTAAGTAGATTACACTTTTTACTTAACATGTTTACTGCCCTTCTGACAAGAAAATGATAGGAAAGAACTGAATGTGTCTGCTACACAAACTTGTTATATAAGAAAAAGATATGTTTTTCTTCCAGCAGCTGTGAAAAGGTAAGAGAGAAGACACCTGAGAAATCTACCTTGTAATAGTCAAGGACTTTTCTTTCTTTTTGTGTTTATTAGTTTTGTGCTAGAAAAAAATGAGCTGAACTCCAAGGTAAGACTATATATGCACTTGAGTAAACTGTACATAGATACTCCCTTTTACGTGTAAAATTCATTATATGACAGGCAGTACATACTTTCCTTGAACCACTAAATTCACTAAAATATATCAGTGAGGCATTTCTAACCCAATCACATTATTTTAATATTTTCTATACATTGTATATGTATCGTGTATTTGAATGCTTTTCAACAGTTTATGTCTAAAAGCATAACTTGTATAACAAGGACTCGTAAAAAACGAAAAATCAAAAACAATGCATATTGCACAATAAATGATTGTAAAACTGCAAGATGGCTCAGTTTGCACGAGGTCACTTACTATATCAACCTTTCATATAAAATGCTGCTTACACAGCTTCTGAAAGTCTCTACTATGTGATATACACAGTATAAACCGCCACCAACAACTTGAAAATAAAACCAAACCAACAAATTGTGGAAAACAAACTGGCACTTATTCAAGATGGAAATGTGTAGAAGTCACTGGAGAGAAAAGTCAAAAGGGCTTTGTGTGTACCTTCCCTTGATTTTGAATAAAATGGTGAAGCCATGAAGAGAGCAAGAATAAAACTCACAACAGGTACGTGTATGCACTGAGTGTTATGATTCCATCAGCACTCTTAATTCTAGGAAAATTAGTGCAGAGAGCAGTAGAAAAATCAGATGGCAGACTTGGCTAGTGGAAAAGGAATTAGAGGATTGGTTCTTCTCTGAGATTGATTGAAAATTGATGTTAAAGAACCATTTTATAGTATCACAGATTGTTCTCTTACCAAATTTAGTACTTTTTGGGAAATAAAAACACTTGCATGTCAATTTTGTACAGCTGTATATTCTCTCTTCACTGAACTTTTGTTACAAGCGTGTAGTATCAGAACTCCTCTTGGACACAATCTTTCCAAGTCCAAAGCACCATGTATCTTTGATTCCTCTAGTTTTCTATGTGTGTTGAGGCCAGTCTGAGATCTGAAAGCTTCTTCTTTAATTTTGCCAAGCCTTGAATTTAATATCATTTTGACCTTTTTAATATTCTGGGTTTAGAGTGTTCACCATTTTACAAAGTGAATCAGTGAATAAATTTTGGGATTTGAATTGCGGATTTAAATAAAACAGGACCAGAATAAATTTTCATAATCTGTAGATTAGATAGTTTAGATAATCATGGTTTCCAAACTATAATTTTCTGTTTTCCTTCAACAATTCCTTCTTATAAAGTTTATTCCTGGAAATCAGAGTTCTTATTTCATTGGGGTTATTAAGACTGTATATGAAAAAAATGCTGTGTTCCTGGCATGCCTATATGTATGTCATAATCTGAGTAGTGGTATATAATTTTTTCAGTGCTTGCAGATCTCCATTTAATAATTTCACTTGCATTTGAAAGCTGTCAGCTCAGTCTGCTAGAATGTGTGAAATGCATATGGCTTAAGAGAACAATTTGCAGGTATAGCTTGCAAATTTCACATGAACAAACACATATAAGTCCAAACTGTATGTCTGATTTATGCATGTTTGATTTACATATGTGTCCTATTTCTTGATCTTTGTCTTAACAGTCATTTATATTTAAATTGTTACTCTTCAGATTTCCTTAAATTTATATGCATTTGACTTTGTATCTTCTTGAATGTCTGGGGACAATACATACTCACAACTTTATTATAAATCACATTATATGTTAATGTACAAGAGGAAAAAGCATAAAAACTTAAAACTTAAAAAAGTATAAGATAAACATTTAAATTACTCTTGCTCTTTGGAGAGGTCAGAAAAAATAGTTACCTCTGAATAAGTATACATGGACAAAATATGGACTAAACTATTTCAAATGGTGATGACTCATGCACTTCCTCTGAAATATTATTACCGCACAAATAGATTCTGGGGTCAGCAACTGGTAAGGAGTTGCTAGAAACTGATTGCTGGCTGATCTATGCATTATTAGGGAAAAATTAGAAGAGGTTGTAGAAATGGGTAATCCTTATATCAGAGGCTTTAGGGGATTAACTCATCTGTCTCATTGCTAAATCAATCTTATCCCTTTTCCAACCAACAAAATTCAATTAACTTCTATGAATTATTTAGCCACACAGAAGTCTTAGATAGCATTAATATTTGTGGTTCGCGGTGTTTATTTTTGTCTTTGTTTTTCAAGGAATATAAAATATTACTTCTTAATAATCAAACTCCAATTTGGACTGTAATTTTCTATTTTAACGTTTTAAGAAATATAACTTAATTACACCTAATGTTAACTGAAGTATTTTATACACTGGGTACTGCTTACATTTAGATTATGAATTGCCTCTAGAAAGTTTAGGGAATCAGAGATTTTATTTATTTATTTATTTATTTATTTATTTTACTGAAATGACATTTTAACAAAAACTCATAGAACTTTAATACTACCAGATAAATTACAATCTTCTTGTTCAACCCAAGAAGAAAGGAGTTTGAACAATGTTGCTAGAAAAGTTACTAGAGGACTTATGTCTTTGACAAAAATAGTTTAATTCTTGTCTGAGAAACTACGTTAAAGTGATTGGCTAAGAATAAAACAGGATTACCTTGTAGACAGAAAAACCTTAATTCCTGAATGCCTTAAAAATTTTTAAATTTGTCAGTCCTTTGGTCATTTCCTGCACTGTTCTTCATATGATAACAAAGATCTACCCATCAAATTTGAGAAATGGGAACTTGAAATCTAGACAAGGCAATTGAGATCATGAAAATATCTTTTGCAACTGATCAATAAATAAACTTAGAAAGGCTTGGAGGATGAAGAATGAGACCACGTGGGCTAGTTACTTAGCTACTGTTGTCAGTATTGTTGTGAAAGGATAAAAAGTTCAGTGTAACTTAGCCACCCAGTCACACACTCAAATGGATGAGTGAACACTGGAATCTGCAATATACTTCATGTTGCTATGCCTACACTGGTATTTATTCCTGAGGTAGGTACTTTACCTAGTTCAAAGCTAATGCAAATATGTATGCAGAAACTAGAATCAGAGCAGGGAATACTGTGAACCATACATCTAGACCATAAATCATTTATGTCAGGATTTGTCTTCTAAAGTATTTTGGCCATTCCTGTTATACTGTCAGCACTTCTGCACATAAATGAGTTATCTAGCACCTATGTATTCTGCATATATTTGAACTGGACAGTATTGCATGACATTTTCACTCCTTGAAATACTGTATCCTTCCCAATCAATCAGGTATTATATCAATCCCCTCTGGTTTCTCTTGAATTGCTTCATGCTGATTTACTATTAAATTTTACTCTGATTTCCTACTGCATTTTTTTTTCCACTGACTTTAATTAAATGTCCGAACCTAGTGGATCAGGATAACTTTTATTAAATATAATAAATCAGTGCTTCTAACAGATCTCTTTGTAGTTCCTCCTAGGTTCATCAAAGCCAAAGACTCTGCAGATAACATATGGTTATATGATAGATGGTAAGTCTGAAGACTGAAGAATTTCATATGAATTTCAAATGTAAGTTGCTAATTTTTTTTCTTAAGAAATAAAGTGCTAATGTTACCACGCAAGCTGGAGAGAGACCTTTTTGAAACACCTTAGTCAATTCTACATCAAACTTAACAAACATGATTTGGTAAGATAGGAATTTCCTTAGAAACCACAGAACTTTCCACCGAAACTTAGTGTGTTGGTTGTAGATTTAGAAGTCTCTGCAGTGTTGCCAGTGCTAGTAAGATATTCCAATTCCTAATAGACAAATATGTTATTCAGTACCTTTGCTTTTATGTTCTCCTCGTCACAGCTTATTTTACTGAAGGAACAATCTTATGTTTTAACAACAGATAGTGACTGAAACTCAGAACATACTGTACAAAGTGTCAAAATGTGATAGAATGGCCATATATATCATATTTTAAGTGTACTATTGGGAGTTTTTTGTGCACTTACAGTGCCATAAGATAAACTCCAAAGTTTGCTATAAATGTATAAAGGTTCATACACTTTATCTTCTTTCTTTTCAGTAGTTTCTCTTAATTATATGAAAAACAGATGGAGAGAATAAAATGTTGATTTTCATAATAATTCCTATTTTGGGTTGCATGGGGATTTTTCATTTTAATAGTTCATACAATTAGTTGCACTGATATTAGCTACTATACATTGATTTTATTGTTATAAAGCATACCAAAATCTGGTTACTTCTTATTTCTCAACATTCCTACATCTTTTTCCGACAGTTTACAACAACTTCAATGACTTTAACAATATAGATTTTATAAATATGTACTTTACAATCTCTTTGTAATTACTTGATTAGTTAAGTAGCATATTTAGTGATCATTATTTGTATAGTACTCAATTAAGATTTCTTCTGTCATGTCTACTTTTGTTTGTTTGTTTGTTTCTGAAATGTATACATACTGATATAATACAAGAATTTTGGTTCTTTCACACTTAAACAACTTCACTGGTGAAATATGCAGATAACAACAACAACAACAAACACTTTATATAACATTAATGTTCCATTATTATATTAACCTGTTGCTCAGTTTTGTGGGTTTTGTTTGTTTGTTTGTTTTTTATCACATACCTGTGCTAATTTCTTGTGAGACAAATTTGAAAGGAGTTATGAAATGGAAAGCTGTACTAAAGGGCCAAACTAGAGGAAATAAAATTTCCCACTGCTTATGAAATGTTAAATTCAGAAATATGTTAAGCTTGCAGTAAAATCTATGGAACATAGGTTTCTTGTTAGCTGTTAAAAATCTGTCTAGATTTTGTGTCATAAACAAATTTTCTTTTGTAAAGTATTCACAGACTTGTTAGTGTTGTACACCTGGCCTTGTTATGTTATGATTAACTAAATTTTTGGTTAATTTCAACAACCGGTGAGCCAGATCCACACCTTCTCTGATTGCCAGCCTTTTATTTTCAATGGAATTTTTCAACTATGTAAAATAAATGGATTTTTTATAGTCTGATTGCCACATTTTGATGGATAATGTGGCTGAGAACAAACCTTGTTCTGTACCAATATTCTATTAAAAAAATGTTGGATGCTTACAAAGCATGACCATGACAAAATGTTAATCATTTTAGATCTGGTATCAAGAATTTAGACTTTAAATACTGCAAATTAGAGTGTCAAGGCCACACATTCAATCTGATGCATAGCAGAAGTATTGAATAATTGTCCTTTAAGTGAATAAAACAGAGTTCTGTGTGAAAGGGATCATTTACATAACTTAAGATAGCATCAAAAGCAAAATTTTACACTTTGAATGCATGGCATTCAATATTCATAGAATCATAGAATGACTATATTTGTCAGGCCTTTATGTTATGTGACATTCACAGTGATTAGGCTAGAACAGGTTAAGCAATAGCTACTTGGCCGCTAGACTAACTGCTATAAACTAGCTAACAATAGCTCAGGCCAAGGAAAGGTTAGATAACTTAGTATGCTGCCAGGTCATTGTGAAGCCCTTCATCTTCTACTAATAACAGCAAAAATCATAGCTACAGAGCTATGTAGTTATACTTGAGCCTAATGCCAGTCAGAGTAAACTGAATAACATTGAAGTTTTTTAGTGGCGATACTTTAAACTGGATTTCCAGATCCTGTCTCACAGTACCCAACATTACAGTGTGGTTCTCTAGGATAAAAAAGGAAACCATATACATGTATGTCAAGTTTAGGAAGTTATAAAAGATTTTTTAGTGAAGAAAGTATTTTCTTATGATGATGGTTAGGCATCCCAGCATCCTGACTGAAGTAAAGTGTAAACATTTGGAATTTTGAAAAACTAATCAGTACTACCTAATTAAAACAAGTGTTTGAATAATACTACTAATAATAAATCAAACACCATAAATATATCAGAAGAAGACATGGAAGATATTCATAAGATTATACCTGCAGAGCATTAGGGTTTATAAGATTGTCATGATGCAGCAAATAAAAGTTAAAATTTTAACATTTTTAAGTAATAAATTTCAAAACAGCTAAATCAATTGTAACACTTAGAAACTAATTTGAATAGCATGTCACCAATTCAGATATAGTATTCTATTTCAATCTTAGCTTAGCAGGTAACAACATAAATGCCATCTCCTGAGAGCATGTCATTTTCCATTCAATTCTTTGAATGTGTTCTTCTGTGCCAATAGATGGCATTAAGATTAATGGAAACACTGACTACAATAGTAAAGTCTTTTTCTAAGATATGTAATGCTATGGAATCTAAAAAAAGAAAAAAAGAAAAAAAATCTTGAAAAAAAAATATTTTGAAGAGTAATATGAGCTTTAAAAGTTTAATTTTTACAGTGGAATGATTTATTCTATCAAATCACTTTAAGAAATTTAGAAGGATTTGTTCAAAACACTTAGTTCTCAGAGTACCTAAATGAGGTAATATCCTTTTTCCTTTTTTTTCAGATCAGCAAACAGAAACGTAGAATTTCAACTAGATTTGTGTATACCAGTAGTGAAGAAGACTGCATCCCTCCCCAGTATTTTGATTGTTGTTGTTTAATTTGCATTTTAACTCTTTCAAGTTGCCCTTTTTTGAATTGCATTGATGCATGAATAAGCAGTCATGCTATATAGGATATATGATTTTTATATATAAATATATACACAAGTATAAAAATCATATATATTTGATATATATATGATAAAATATATATGATAAAAATGTATGTGATTTTATGTATTATATATCTGATAAAAATAATATAATATGATTAAAATGATATTATATAAAATCATATATATGATAAAAATATATATGATAAAAATCATATATATTTGATCTATGAGCTGATAAAGTGAGAAAGTAAACAATCTAAAATATTTATGTCCAGTACTATAGCTAAAAGACAAATTCTTCTTAATCTCCAACATCAGCTCTTTCCTTAGGGCTTCCAGTATCTCTTCAGCTTTGCTTTGTGTCATTTTAACAATGCTGTCACAGTCAAAGCAGTGCAAACTGTCTAAAATCAACATAGTAACCTGTGAAGTAGGAGGGAAATTATATTAATAAAGGTCATCATTCTACATACAGATACAAGCATAGAGCTAGGTGACTGAAATGAATATTTACTGTAGTTTTATTTTAATCCTCTGGGAGTTCATTAACATCCCTCTCAAATGTTAGTGTTCAAATCCTGCCTATGACAGAGCAAACGAGAGAGAACAAAAAAGATTTAATAGAAGTTATTTCCTGGGGTTGTGCAAATGCAGCTGAGGCAATACTATGTTCTTCTGTGTTTCCTATGTTTTCTTGTATTAGAAGAAAGAAGAAGCGAAGAATACGGATTTCCCTCTTGAAAAAAACACTTCTTATGAGGATGAAGGTATTGCCTAGACAGGGGATAATGAATGCAATTCATTAATATTGTACAGTCTCCTCATCACAGATTATAGTGAGCAGGAAGGAAGAACACTGTTGTGGAGCTGTTTCGGAAACGGATTGCACAAACTGCATCCTTTTGCTTATTTGTAAATCTCATTTCAGTAAGACAGTTAATACAAATGTTGTTGCTGATAAAGAAAATGGTAGCAAACAATTACAATCTTAAATTGTCCCTGAGTAAAGTAGTCATCCTGACCTAAATTTTCAGTGTTTTCTGTAAATGATCAAGAATGATGGCTACTGTATTTGTCCTGAATGATAGAAAAATCTATAAATAATGCTTTTTAAGCTAAGAGAACATTGTTTTCACTCATCACTCCTGAATCACTCTCCAAGAATTTTGCTTTTGAAGCTGAATTTCCTATCACTGAATTGTTTTTCATATATATATATATATAAATGTAAATATACACATTTTATTTGCATTCAGAGGAAAGTCTTAAGATTAGAACATGTCTTTATGTACTAACTGACTAAAACTGAAAATTTGATTCTCTCTATACTGTAATATGAATCCAGCTAAATGCTATGTCCTGGATATCCTAGAAGGTTAGCTTTCCCTTTCTGTCTGTGTGCGTGTCTGCAATATGGGTCTGCAAATGTTAATACATGTACTGTGGAACTGTGTCAGTATGTTCTTATCTAAGAGAACTCATGAAAAGTTTGTCTTGATGGTAAATTAATACTTGGGCTTTATATATATTAATATATATATATAATTAAATATAGAGCTTCCATAACATTATTGGGTCTGTTTTTAAAACTATTATATATGAATTGCTGCAGAGTAAAAGAAAATTCTCTAAGTTACAGATGGTCACTAAATTGACAATATATTTACTGAAGCATAAATTTCCAACCCACTGAAATTCTACTTTCCATGTGCTCAAGAGACTCCTGGAATAAAACAAAGCAACAATATGCATGGGTATGCAGGCAAACATATGATGCATACAGCATATGTTATACCTTAGCTTCATATTCAGCTGAAGTGAATTGATAGAAAAAAATAATGCTAGTAGCAAAAAATCTTTTTGGTACAATAAAACCCTATTTAAGAAGGCTGGAAGATGTAGCTATTCAGATCTTTATTTTATGTGAGCCATACTGTGCTGCTAGGCACACACATGCAGAAGGTTTCTATAGCTTTCACACAGTTGCCTGTAACAACAGTCACTACTAAGATCAGTACCTTTCTTTCTGACCATAACCACTACCATTCTGTTCTAAATAATGACACTCGAGGCTTCTGATCTGAAGGCTTCTGAACTATGCAAGTTCATACTTGCTCTCAAAACATAAATTCATATTTACACAGTGCATATGGAACTTACAGATATGCATTGGACTATAAATGAAAACATATGGTTCCTAAAGCCAGTGCAGATAAGTAATGTCAAAATAGCACGCAAGTCCATTCATATAATCAACATACAAAACTAGGACAAGGGAAACTGTCACATATCTATATACACATATACACACACCAACTGTGCTATGAACAAGTGTTTCCAAGTTCTACACATAGATATTTTTTCTTCTCATTCCTCTGGAACATGGTTTAGAAATTTGGATTCTGCTGAAAATTGGGTGCTTAACCATTTGTTTTGCTTTTGCTTAACCAATTGTCTTGCTTTTTAATAGATGTTGCTGGGTTATTTTTCCAGTGGTTATTTTCTCGTGTACATTCTTTGGTGTCAAGGCTGAGGTGTAAGGATAGAAAGGGAACAAATTATGTGCCTGAATACAGCTGTCTAATGGCCTTTACCTCCTGCTCCAAAATGGCAGGGGTTTCTTATATGTCCCATTTTATATCCGTGAGACCTGTTCCTGTGACTGAGATACCACAGGTTGTCTTGTACAGCACTGGATGCCTATATTTATGGACTGGTATTGCTTATACAGTAGCAGAGGGACTTACTGATTCCTAACTTTCATTTGTTTTATGAAGTGCTGCAGCTATTGTTACCCTCACCCTCAAATGCACACCTCCAAATTTCTACTTTTGGTCCCCTGAAGATTAAGGCAAGAAAGAGTCAGAAACAAATAGAATTCAGGGAAACTGGAGGGAAACTGCCCAGTACAGTATCTTATAAAATGTGATGCTTTAACACGACAAACTAAATCAAAGATTTTTTTTATTTTATTTTTTTTTTCCTACAGAATTACTTTTTCCTTCTTCTGGAATGGAGGAGAATCTTCAAGTCTGAGTAAATCTCTCTCTTGTCTCAAAATTATTTAGGCCATAATCACTGAAAATTTTCAACTGAAAGCTGCTTCTTGGTTCAGAGACAGAGCTTTATAAGAAAATGAGACATTCTTCTCTTTCTCCGGAAGGTCAAGTGTAACAGCTCTTTTCCAAGATGTGAGAGACCTAAGTTCAGTTCTCAGGAGACTAAGAAGGTCACTGTCTGTCAAAGTCCTTTGCCCAAATCACCACTATGAACCAAGAACAGAGTGGATTTTCAATGTATATAACAAACTACAGAGTAAAAGAAGCTCTGAGTAATTTGGAATGCATTTTTCTGAATTTTTGTAGCTGGAGCCAGCAGATTTGTGTATTTTATAATCTCTAACCAACGAGAGAGTAAGTCACTAACTTTGTGGGTGGAACACGCATCTAGGAAAATGGGACATTGAGCTATCAGTCTCTTTTCCAAGCCTTAAAGATATATGCAGGTTGGAATAGCTCTGCACCAGCAAATAACAAAAGAATGCCTCAATATTTTTTTCAGAAATAATAAATGTAAGCTCAGATCTGTGCAGGCAGAGTTCTGAACAGAGGCTAAGTATTCTACTGTCTCAAAAACAGTTTTAAGGAGTAACCTGTTGGAAAGAAAGGAAATGCTATCAATGCCAGTTTAATGAATGTAGTTCTTTTTTCCTTTCCTTACAGGTGCTCAAAAGGCATTTTTCATGCAGGCTCAGGTGGAAAGTTTGAGTTGACTTATTTTTTTTTCATTAAAAATACTTATTTGATGATTTTTTTTCATAAAATGCTTTCATCCAAATATTTTCTTTTTGCCCCTCTGATTGATTTGACTGCACAATTGTAGTTTCAAATAGGTTTAGCTTTTGAAAAGAATGACCTCCTCAAGTAGACTTTTTTTTTGGACACTAAGTTAAGATTTAACCTTCAGATGAATATTGTCATGTTTAATAAAGAACCTGTGTTCTTTGTATCTAGTTTTAATTTAACTTAGTTTTGATTTTTGTTTTTAATGGGAAGATAAAGGAAAGATGAAGACTGTTTCTTTTACTCAGCAATTGTGTCATGGTGAAATTCAGCTGAACTGTATCTGACCTGTTTCATGTAGATTTCTAGTTACCATTTGGACAAAAGAAAACCAAAACAATTAGGGGAAAGAAAATATTTTCTTACTCTCTAATGTCTGCTTTTACAATTATGGTACAACTGCTATAATGAAAAAGTGGCAATAACAAAATACACCTTGTGTTGGAATAAACATGGTATAACTTTAATACTTCATAGCCAAGGAAAAGATAAGCATTCAGTTTCCCCGGAATTGCCACATTTTTGGATCATCTGGCAGAAAGTGCTATAGGAGAAGCACAGCTGGGTCTTTTTCTCTCAGGAGAATCAAATGCAATACCCTGGTGTCAGACTCAGCTGGCTGAAAACAATGCATGGCCACAGTTGTCTCTCGGTTGCCTGCAATGCTTTTTTAATCTATCTTGCACTAACTGGAATGAATTTAGCATTTTAGATTAATTATTAATTATCTTAATAGTATGCAAAACATATGTCAGTCACAGTATTGTGTCATTTACGCTTAGTAAAGAGCAGTTTTTTTGAAAAAAAAAAAACTTGGTATAGGTAAAAATACATACTTGGATGACTGGAAAACAGTAGTGCAGATTCTTCTGAAATTTCAGTGCTCAGAGCACATGTTGTCTACTAAATTTCAGCATAAAGGAAAAAAAATACTAAAAGCTATAATGTGGCTGATTGCCTTAGGATTCTTTCACAAATCAGTTTTGTTACATTACAAATTAGTAACCATTATTTATCAGCACACTGTGCAACATAACCTATTGCTGTTTTAAGGGCACAAGCAATTCAGTTGCATCAGATGATGGTAGACAAGAAAACTGTGATGTTCTAAACAGTAATGTATCAATTCTGCATGTTAAATGAATATAGATTCCTTTAAAGAACTGAAATCCCCACCTGTTACATGTAATTGAACAGGTCCCAGAATAGATTGCACAAATGAAAACACATGAATTCAGAGATAGAAAGGAGTAAAGAAAACAACTGCATTTGTAAGTAGTATTTTTGGTCTTAATATAATTATCACAATGGATTCTCATGATAATTTTCTGCCCATTAGTTTCATATATGAGCTTCAGGCTTTGATTTTTGGCTGGAAAGTTTTAGCCATAGAGGAAAGGATCTAATAGTCTGGCTTTTTCAAACAAATGGACTATTCGTTTGCATCTTGTTCCAAAATACTGTAAGAGTTCTGCAGGATTTGGTTGTGTGAAATTATATTTGTAGAGATTCAAAATGTATAAAAATATCTTTAATTTACTTAATGTTAGCCTAAACCCAAACATTTATAGAACTCTCATGAAATATGCAATGGTAACCGTAAAACTATATTGTTTATTCATGTATTAAACATTGAACGAACCAACTCTATCTGAATTAGAGAATATGTACAAAAATGTCTCTTTTGATGGTTGGCCAAGGTCAACATTTAGATGTGTTCTTTCCTGAGGTACCAATTATTATCAGTTGATAGGTACATCTCAGGACAGGGCATGGTGATACTGAAATAACTGCTTTGGTTTGTATTTTTGCCATGTATTGACATTTTTTGTTATCTCCACCAAAAAATCAGTCTTTTGGTTTTGTGTAGAAACTATATAAAACAGTTTTCATTTTTCATTAAATTCTTCTATTGTTTGCCTCAGTAAAGCCATTCTTTTTTTTCTTTTTTTTAAAATAAATATATATATATATTTTTTTTTATTATTATTATTATTTTTATAGGAAGGTTTGAAGTTTACCTTCTTTTCATTCCCAGACACATGATGATGTTGCGAAGAATTTTATCTTGTAGTCCACTTCTTTGGTATTATCTAACAATGCAGAAATTAGACTCTCTCATTTAATGTAACTGGTATTTAAAATTATGGAAGCAAGAATACTTTAAATCAAACTCACGGAATCAGAGAACAGCTTTGGTTGGAATGGACCTTAAAGATCTTCTTGTTCCAACCGCTCTGTCATGGGCAAAGATGCCACCCGCTAAATCAGGTTGCCAAGGGCCTTGTCCAACCTGATGTATTTTCTCATGAAAAATACATCAGGCCACAGTATTTTCTCATGAAAAATACATCAGGCATGAACTAGGTTTTTCAAACACACACAGGACCTTTAAGAAAATACATAAAATATCTTTGTACACTAAACTTTCTCAGTGTAATATGCTTATTCCTCTGAGAAATCCAGTTTTATGGAACATATCTAAATTTATCCTTTTATTGAAATGGAATAATACTGAGGGATACCTAAAAATACATGTATATATTTCTCACTGCAGTAATATCAGCTACAATATATAGGAATACCCTTCAATATTTTATACATTAACAAATAATAGTTTATTGGTAAGAATATATGGTTAAACATTCTGATACTCATTGTGGAAATATTTGTGTAGTGTATTCATTCCCAGAGAATATTATTACCTCTTTGTCCTGGTTTCAGTTAGCACAGAATTAATTTTCTTCCTAGTAGCTGGTGGAATGCTGTGTTTTGGCTTAGGATGAGAAGAGTGCTGATAACACCCCGATGCTTTAATTGTTGCAGAGCAGTGCTTATACTAAGCCAAGGACATCTCAGCCTTTTGCTCTGTCCTGCCAACGGGCAGGCTGGGGGTGCAGTAAGAGCTGGGAGGGGACAGACCCAGGACAGGTGACCCAAACTAGCCAAAGGGGTATTCCATACCATCTGACGTCATGCTAAACAATATATAGGGGTGGCTAGCTGGGGGGGAAGGGGCCGGACTGCTCGGGGTTAGGCTGGGCATCGGTCAGCGAGTGGTGAGCAATTGCATTGTGCATCACTTGTTTGTACATACTATTATTACTTTCCTATTATCACCATTGTATTATTATTGTTATTATTTTTATTATTATTTTGTTATTATTATTTTCCTGTCTTATTAAACTGTCTTTATCTCAACTCACGGGCTTCACTTTCCATTTCTCTCCCCCGTCCCAGAGAGGGAGGGGGGAGGGTGAGCGAACGGCTGCGTGGTGTTTAGCTGCCGGCCGGGTTAAACCACGACAGCCTTTTTGGCGCCCAACGTGGGGCCCGAAAGGTTGAGATAACGGCAGATCTGACCAGAGTGTGTTAAACTAAAATTGGTGTAAGGATTAGACCTGCTTAATAGTCACTTGTCATAATGCTGATTGCTTTAATCTCAACTCTGCTGCGCCTGTTTTCCAAATTGAGTATTATAGTACATTATTTTCCGTATTTACTCTCTGTCGTGTTGTTTATCCTCTCCGGGCCCTGGTTTCAGATCATTATGGTGCTGTGTGTTGTAGCAATGGCTTATGAGACGATGAAATATGTGGTCATGACTCTAACTTGTTATTTGTATTCAGTAACATCGTCGACTCTGTACTTTGGAAACTGTATCTTGGAAACTATTAGCAATTATACTTGGGAAGCTCTTCTGGAGATCTGCCCGGGGGCAGGATAGTTGTGGGTGGCAGGGAGTATGGGCGGATATGGGCAGGCACCTAGAGCAGTTGGCACCCCCAGTGTGTTGGAAATTCACCCCTGAACAATGGCAAAATCCTCAAAAACTGGCAGAATGCTTGAAAAAAAGGTGTCATGATTCTGGCAGTTCTAAAGTAACACAAATCATTGTAACGTGCTGGGGCCTGGCTCATGCCTATCGAGCTGCCATTGATACTGCTATCAACTTAGTGACAGACCCTGCGGCCACTCCAAGCCCTGTGACAGATCCAACGGCCACTGTGACCCCTACGGTGGACTCGGCAGCCGCTCCAGATCCGGTTCCTGCAGCCGCTCCAGATCCGGTTCCTGCAGCCGCTCCAGTCCCAGCTCCTGCAGCCGCTCCAGATCCGGTTCCTGCAGCCGCTCCAGATCCGGTTCCTGCAGCCGCCCCAGCTCCAGCTCCTGCAGCCGCTCCAGTCCCAGCTCCTGCAGCCGCTCCAGATCCGGTTCCTGCAGCCGCTCCAGATCCGGTTCCTGCAGCCGCCCCAGCTCCAGCTCCTGCAGCCGCTCCAGCTCCAGCTCCTGCAGCCGCTCCAGTCCCAGCTCCTGCAGCCGCTCCAGTTCCAGCTCCTGCAACCGCTCCAGTCCCAGCTCCTGCAGCCGCTCCAGTCCCAGCTCCTGCAGCCGCTCCAGTCCCAGCTCCTGCAGCCACTCCAGTTTCAGCTCCGGCCGCTACTCCAGTCCCAGTTCCTGCAACTGCTCCAGTCCCAGCTCCTGAAGCTGCTCCAGCTCCAGCTCCTGCAGCCGCTCCAGCTCCAGCTCCTACTGCTGCTCCAGTCCCAGCTCCTGCAACTGCTGCAGCTCCAGCTCCAGCTCCTGTAGCCACTACAGCTCCGGTTCCTGCAACTGCTCCAGCTCCTGCAGCCGCTCCAGCTCCTGTGGCCGTGTCAGAGAAACGAGCAGTAGCAGTGCAAGCTGCCCCTGTAGAGAAGGTGAAAATATGGTATAGAAATTCAAGTCGTTTAGAACGCAGAGAGTCTTCTGCCAATCCAGGTAAGGCTTCTGCCAAAACTAAGTATAGAGATGACGAAGATGATGACGACGCTGGGCCATCAAGGATTCAGGAGGAGGAAGATGAGGATGCCGAAAGAGCAACAGTAACTACCCGAAGCCTAAACGAGCGCGAGCTACGAGATGTGCGAAAAGATTTTGGTCGCTGTATAGGTGAGCAGCTTGTCACCTGGCTGCTCCGGTGCTGGGACTCTGGAGCCAATTGTGTGGAATTAGACGGCAGGGAAGCCAGACGGTTGGGATCCCTTGCTCGAGACGCCGGCATTGACAAAGCAATTGCAGATGGAGCACGACCCACCAGCCTCTGGAGGCGTCTCCTCTCAGCTGTGAGGGAAAGGTATCCCTTCAAGGAAGATATTTTATGTCTACCAGGCAAGTGGACCACTATGGAGAAGGGAATCCAGTACCTGAGGGAATTAGCCGTACGGGAAGTGATTTATGAGGATCCAGACCAGACACAAACATCCAAAGATCCAGATGAAGTCAAGTGTACACGACCCATGTGGCGGAAGTTTGTACGGAGTGCACCATCATCATATGCCAGCTCATTGGCAATAATGGCCTGGAAAGAGGATGAGGAACCCACAGTGGATGAAGCGGCTAAACAACTCCGGCAGTACGAAGAAAGTCTCTCCTCTTCCTTACAGGCCTGCGTCTCAGCTGTGGAGAAACTTTCTGAAAAGGTTCACCAACTTGAAGAGAATCTATTGTCCTCCCCACCTGAACCAACCAGTGCCCACCGACCAAAAGAGAACACCTGGGAGAAAACACTTTCTGAAAAGTTTCACCAACTTGAAGAGAGATTATTCTCCTCCGCACCTGTACAAAGCAGTGTCTCAGCTGTCAGGGGTAGGCGTTCACCCACACAAGGAAGACGATATGGTGGGTACTCACCCCGTGCCACCCTGTGGTTTTACTTACGAGACCATGGAGAGGACATGAGAAAATGTGATGGAAAATCTACCGCGACCCTAGAGGCACGGGTACGTGAGTTGCAAAAGAAAACAATCAGGAAAAAAGGATTCTCCGAAAAGTTTGCTGCTCCAACTTCCAGCAGACAATCCTTCAAACACAGAAACGAAGAAGATTCTGACCAGGATTAGGGGGGCCCTGCCTCCAGCCAGGGGGAGGAAAGGGACAATCGAGTTTATTGGACTGTGTGGATTCGATGGCCTGGCACATCACGCGCACAGAAGTATAAGGCTTTAGTAGACACCGGTGCACAATGTACTATAATGCCATCGAGCTATAAAGGACCAGAGCCCATCTATATTTGTGGAGTGACAGGAGGATCTCAGCAGTTGACTGTATTGGAGGCTGAAGTGAGTCTGACTGGGAATGAGTGGGAAAAGCACCGTATTGTGACTGGCCCGGATGCTCCATGTATCCTTGGCATAGACTATCTTAGAAGAGGATATTGCAAGGACCCAAAAGGGTTCCGGTGGGCTTTTGGTATAGCTGCCTTAGAGACAGAGGGCATTAAACAATTATCTACCTTGCCTGGTCTCTCAGAGGACCCCTCTGTTGTGGGGTTGCTGAGGGTCGAAGAACAGCAAGTGCCAATCGCTACCACAACTGTGCACCGGCGGCAATATCGCACTAACCGAGACTCCCTGATTCCCATCCATAAGCTAATTCGTCAATTGGAGAGCCAAGGAGTGATCAGTAAGACCCATTCACCTTTCAATAGCCCCATATGGCCAGTGCGAAAGTCTAATGGCGAGTGGAGACTAACAGTGGACTATCGTGGCCTGAACGAAGTCACGCCACCACTGAGTGCTGCAGTGCCGGACATGCTGGAACTTCAGTATGAACTTGAATCGAGGGCAGCCAAGTGGTACGCCACAATTGATATCGCTAATGCAT